TATATATATATATATATATATATATATGTACCACATCTTCTTTATCCATTCATCCATCGGTGGACATTTGGGCTCTTTCCATACTTTGGCTATTGTTGATAGCGCTGCTATAAACATTGGGGTGCATGTGTCCCTTCGGAACAGCATACCTGTATCCCTTGGATAAATACCTAGTAGTGTAATTGCTGGGTCGTAGGGTAGTTCTATTTTTCATTTTTTGAGGAACCTCCATACTGTTTTCCAGAGTGGCTGCACCAGCTTGCATTCCCAGCAGCAATGCAAAAGAGATCCTCCTTCTCTGCATCCCTGCCAACATCTGTTGTTGCCTGAGTTGTTAACGTTAGCCATTCTGACAGGTATAAGGTGGTATCTCATTGTGGTTTTGATTTTATTTCCCTGATGATGAGTGATGTTGAGCATTCTTTCATGTGTCAGTTGGCCATCTGGATGTCTTCTTTGGAGAAGTGTCTGTTCATGTCTTTTGCCCATTTCTTCACTGGATTATTTGTTTTTTGGGTGTTGAGTTTGATAAGTTCTTTATAGATTTTGGATACTAACCCTTTATCTGATACGTCGTTTGCAAATATCTTCTCCCATTCTGTCAGTTGCCTTTTAGTTGCCTAGATTCTTACACTCTGGGACGGTCCTTGTCTTTACCTGGTTGCCAAGGAGGCGCTGATACCAGGCCATGTGGAAGACTGCCTCTCCCAGTAATTCTGACCTCTGTGTAGCACCTGTGACATGGACATGAGGAATGTGGGTTCCTGGGACCAGAGAGCAAGGCCTGGCTACCTTCCAGTAAAAGGCAACAGATTGATTTGTTGAAATGCCATCGCAACTGCCTGTCAAACACAACTCTGGGTGAACAGTGGTGCTGGCTTGTGGAAATATTTCCTCTGCTAACTCCCTAAAACAAATAAGAATAAGAAAAATGGTCATCTTTAATGAGTTCCAGTGATGTGCCGGCCACTGTGCTAAATTAGCCCTCTGTGTGTAAACTTCACTGAATCATCACAGCTCTCTGGTAGGCATTTGCTGTACACTGAATGTGTCTCCTCCAAATTTGTATGTTGAGTGTATAACCAGACTCAAGGGGTTTGCTGCTTGGGGTGCATCAAATTGAACACAACCCAAGGAAATGGTGAAACCAAAGAACTTTTCGTTACTTTTTACAAGTAAAGAGATGGGAAGATAGCTCGTAAAGTGCTGTCTCCCTATGGCGTTAGTACAGGCAGCTTTTGTGCAGTGTATTAGAGGTGGGGGCAGGGAGCTTGCTTAGGCACTTTGGTTCAATTATGCATGCCTAGTGTGTCAGTTTGGTGGTGCATACATCATATGTTCCAAACATGGTGGAAAGCTCTGCCCATAGGAGGAGATCTTGGCATTATAATGAGCTAAAAGTAACTTCGGACAACTGAGGGGAGCTTCTGCATAGGTCTTCAGCTCCAATTCATCTCAAACTGACTCATGTAAAGAGCTGTCAGGTGAGACACACCTAGCAAGGGGTTATTAGGTGAAACACTTACTTGGGTGACTCTTGGCTAGAGGTGTTGCTTCCGCAAAACAAGACACATTCTTTCCCTACTTTTGTCCCTTCCCCTCCTTGCTCCTGCTGATCGCTTTCAGTCCTCTTATTTGGGTAACTTCCTGTTGCATCCTAGCATGACCCACCCCCACGTGATGGTTTTGGATATGGGCCTTTAGGAGGAGGTGATGAGGTTTAAAGGAGAGAGGCCATGAGGTTGGAGCCCCCATCGTGAGATTAGTGTCCTTATAAGATAGGGAAAGACCTGTGTTCACATGCTGTCTCTCCTCCA